TTTTCACAGGTGCCAAGAAGCTCGTTTGCTTCTCCAAGGCCTGATTCCTGGCAGCAGCAGTGTGAGAGGCGATGGGCAGGAGGCAATCTCACCCTCAAGTGCCCTGCTTGGTGTGCCAAGGGTGGGCAGAGCTGAAATTCAGGCCACCATGCTCTGAATTTAATTACTGCAGGAAAAATGAACCCTCTAGCTGCTGTCCCACCACAGCAGTGAGACCCATGAAGTGCATTACATCTGAAGTTCCACGTGTTGCAGACTGCTTGTGGGGTTTGTGGCAGCTCAGATGTGGCTCCAGTGCTTGGCTGTGGGAGCCAAATTCCCATCAAACTTCCCCAGACTGAAGGTATTGGAGCGGCTGGGCTTGGGCCAGGTGCCTCCCCCACGTATAAAAAGTTGATGGGGTCGGGGAAGGGGGCTGTGGAATTATCTCTCTCATATCAGGGTAGCAGTGCCTGGGGAAGTCCTGCAGAACAGGGAGCACAGGAGACACTCCAGGATGGAAATACTCCTCCTAGTCTGTGTTGCTTGGTGTGAGGAGACAGCTTTGGCTCTGGAAGGGACTTGCTGACCTGATATTTCTAAAATGTCATTGGAGGAGCTGTCCAGGACTTGGCAGCCCAGCCCAGGACATGCTGATTCTCTCCTTAAAGGGAGTTTCTGCTGCTGTTGACAGCAGCTGGAGCAGATTCTTCACAGTGGCCGTGCTGCTGGGGGCGATGTCTGAAGGAAACACACACAAAACAGGGCTGGGTGTGCTGCCAGCTCTGCCCCAGGCAGGAGGGAATCCCTGGAGGGGTCTCACCTGAGCTGATGGATGCTGGTGATGGGGATGACATCCCCTCTGCAGGCATGGATCACTGGGATCTGGGACATGGATCATTGCACTGGCTGGAAAACCTGGCCTGATTGCTGACCTTGCTGGTGTGTAGTGCAGCACTGAGTTAAGCTGCTGTGATCTTTGGGACTTCTCTCTGTGACAGTGCCTGTGGGTCTTGTGTGGTCAAGAGGTTCCCAAAGGAGGTGCAGGGAGGGTCTCAGTGGACATCCCTGATGGCCCATGAGCATTTGAAGCCCCTGGCTGAGCAGCAGCAGCAGAATCACTGCCTGAACCTTTCTGTTTAATATAACTGCAAATTCTCATTGCAGTTATAATTCACTGGGATTCTTTTACTGCAATGGCCTCAGCATGGGGCAGGTGTGTTCTCAGGGACACAAAGGAGAAGCAGCATGTCCTTAACCTGGAACAAAACCATAAAGACACTTTTGGAAAATGAAGCTGGGGTTGCTGTGGCTCAGGGCCTTTTAGCCTCCCCATCCTTTTCTGATAGGAACATTTCTAGTTAGCCAAGAGGATGGACCAGGCAGTAAACTAGATTTACAGTTTTTTATTTTTCAAACAATGCTTTGGAATACTTTATTGAGCAGCAAAACGAATTGCATCTGCTCATCTCCCACTCCCACATAAAATACAGAGAGGTTTTCTCCAGGATCATATTCCTTTTAAAAGGGTTTTTTGTACCATTCTCTGCTCAGTGCCCATCTGGGAAACATGTGCAGCCATTTGATAAATATATTGTGAAAATCATGGTTGAAGTGGCAGTCTGCCTGCAGCGGAGGAATAGCTACGGGGGAAAATGGTAAATAAGATAGCTGTAAGTAAATTAATTTTGCTCATATAAGCTTGTTTGCAGCTTTGGTTCGTGTCTGCAGCATTATCCTCTGCTCTACAGCAGGTGTTCAGTGTTGGGGGGGATCAGCAGGGACAGCAAAGCTGTGCAGGAGCTGGGAGATGGTGGCGGTAGAATTTCTGTTTTGCTGGGATTTCCCATCCCAGCAAGGTATGGTTGTGCCATACAGCCTGAAAAACTGCAAATCCACCACTGATTTAGCCTTGCAGAAATTAATAGTTGCCTTTTGTGCTGAGTTTATGCAGAATGAGATTGGGCTGCACATAACTGATTTGCTTATTCAGAAATCTTTGCTTTCAAATACAGTTTTGGAGGATTTATCAGTGAAAAGGAATCCTTCAAAACAGCAGAACTTGAAACAAAGCCCAGCTCTACAGATGAACAATTATTTTCTTTAAAGTCTTGCTGGATTTTTTTTGCCTGCTTTTAGCAGCACTGTATTATTTGTTTCAACAATGTATGGGTCTGTTTGTTTTTATCAGATGGACTGATTTATGGGGTTTATCCTCAGTTTATCTAGTTCAGTTGTCAGTTAGCTAAAGATTTATTTTACAGCCTGAGCTGTGGGTTAGAACTGAGCAAGTTTGCTTCAGCTTTTGAGGGAGAGACACCCTGGGTGCCTGGTCTGGGTGGTGAGCAGCTGCTCAGAGGACTGATATAAGCATCACTGTTTGCTGGGCTGCTCTTCCCACTGCTCCTGGCCTTTTTTTTCCTGCTGGCTGAGCAGCACGAGACTCACAAATGTTCAGTCCAGGTGGGTGGTTTGTGGGCTTTCATGGCCAGCTACACAGCAACACAGGCAGATTCTTTCTTCCCCCTGCTCCCACATATGGGGAAAACCTCGTGGCAGGAGGAGGGAAGAAGGTGTAGGAGCTACAGGCTTCAGCTGCAGATTGATTTTCCTCGTGGTGCTGCCTAGGAGTGAGGTGAGCTGTGACTGTCCAGGGGCTAAAGCTGCATCAAGGAAAAGCCTCGGGTTTTGTTATTCTGTAGGCAGAAGAAACAGCTTCTAGCGCAGTGTGGCCCTGGAGGTTTCCTCCTATCCCTTGGGCAAGCTGGGTTAAATGGTGGAAGCATTTTTGCTGCCTCCTTCCCTTCATTGAGAATGATTTCCGTGCTGTACCAGCCTGCCAGCAGAGCTGCAGCCCAGCCCTGGCGGAGGCTGCTGACAGCAGGGCTGTGGCTGGTGCTTTCCTGGTTGTGCAGGGCTGGAAACTTGATTGTTCTTCCCTGGAGCCAAGGAGATGACCTTCCCCTAGAGCCAAGCGTGCTGGCATCCCATGTGTGTCCCTGGGAAATGTGCTGCTCCTTAGGCTCTGCAGTTTTCTGGGAATGCCTCTGCAGAGGAAGCGGGGTGACCACAGGCTTGCAGTTGCCCTGGCCTGATGCTCCTTGTTTAGCTCAGAAGCTTTCCAAACTTCACAAAAGCATTTTGCAGACAGCAAATCCTTGGTGGGCTTCCCAGTTTTGAAGGGTCAGCGCTGGCTTGGTGGTTTGCAGCCTGGGTTTGGGGGTTTGGAGAGCAGGGAGGTCTGGCAGAGGGGAGGCTTGTGCTGCTTTGCCCCTGGGTTTGTGGGACCACTGCAGTGTGTGCTGGGCTGAACCCCACACCCCTCCCTCACTGCTGAGAGCCACCCCTAGTGCCTGATCCCTGGCTCCAAAGGGGATTTGTGCTTTGGGATTGATGTGTTTAAATATAGTTTTAATAGAAGCTTTTAAAGCTGATCTCACCATTTCATCACTGTTTTGAGTGAGTGACACTTCTGTCAAATTTCTTTCAAGCAAACCTGCAGAAAAGACAGGAAGGGGAAAGGAGGTGAACAGTGGGATGTGGAGAGGAATAGCTTAGATTTGGATATTCGCTTTCAGTGACCCCAAGTGCCTGGTGTGTATCCCTAGGATTGGCACATAACCTAGGGTGAAGCCTCCAGTCAAGATCTTCATCTGGTTTTCTCATTGATATAAAAGGCTGCTTGAGCTTGGCTGCCATGGGGGCCTCAGGAACAAATCCCTGTGCAGCAGAGCTCACTGTAATGTGTTTAACTGAGCATTGCTGGGCAGCTTTGAGCCCAGCTCAGCCTGTGCTCCTTGACAAGGGTTGTGTGTGTTCCCAGGCTGGGGCTGGATGGGGCTCTCTGGACTCACTCAAGCCCTATCCCCATGTAAATGAAATGTAAATGCAAATATCACCTGGCTTGCAGGGGTTTTATGCACAGCCTGCTTTCAATACAGAGAACCACAGGTTGCAATATTTCAGGGTTAAGCCTACTCTGGAATTCACTGGAGGCAGGACAGGATGCTGTGCTCCTGTATTCCCCCACTATCCCCAGAAGCTGGGCAGAGGGATGAAATGATGGCTGCATCTTCCGAGGTGATTAAGTGTTGACAGCCATGTGCTGCAGAGGATCATTTCCTGCTCTGCACTGTGCTGGGAAGGCTAAAATCTGTTTTAAATTGAGACTGAAATTAGCATCCAGGAAACAGCAGATTTTATGCAGCAGTTTTAGCTTTGTATTGCACTTTTGTTGTTCTGTAGGTCTTCTCCCGAGGAAAAGCTGATTCCCATCCCACTTTAATCATTAAGCATTGTTGATTTGCAACTCACTATAGCTTTTATACACAGTGGGCAGCAAGAACTTGTGTTTGCACACAGACTGCAACTGTGTAGGGCCAGGGGTGACCCTGGAACTGGATTTGCTTTTAAATCCTGCTTTTGCTGACCATGTTGCAAATGGCAGTGTGGAAGTCACTGGGCTTGGCTGTTCTGTGACACTCTCTAAGGCCCTACAGGGCAGCAGAGAGACTACTGGGGAGCCCTAAATGGCTGTGGAGTTGTTGTTGTACCTGTTGGGTTTGAGTACGTGCCAGAATCTCTTGTATCCTATAAATAAGAACTTGAGAGGTCGAAAGTTTGACCTTTGGCCTTCAGATGTTGGGATGCTTCTTCCAGTACTGTAAGCCCTGGTTGGCTGTAGGTCTGGCTACAGAGGGAGAAGTTCTCTTTAGCTGTGTCACTTGTTACACACCAGATAAAATCTCATTTTTATCTCTTTCCTGTCTAGCTCAATGCCTGGGTCTGCCTTTCATTCTGAGTGCTTGTACCTTGTTTACAGCCTGCCAGTGTTTTGCCTTCACTTTCTTGCATGCTGGAAGAAGCCAGAGACGACTGTTCAGTTATATTTGTGTTGAGTGAACATTATTATTCACATTACCTTGGTTTGTGATTCCTTTCAGGTATTTCATGGAGCCTTTGAGCACTAACATCGCTGCTCTCTGAGTGACCATCTGAGACCAAACTTGCTGGACACAGCCATGGGGGACTCTCCAGCAAATGTCCTGGGTGGAGGCATGGACACACAGACTGAACTGGTGGAGAGGGTGGCAGCCATAGATGTGTCTGTTGTCCCAGACAGAAGTGACCAAAATGGTGAAGACAACCCTGAAGAAAATGACACAGTCTTTTCTGATAACATAAAGGACATCCAAAGAAATGGAGTCAGCAGTGACATGGGAATCAATGAACTTCTGCCTTCCCAACAGTCAGAAGATGCTCACTTGAGGCACGTTCCCAAAAGACCTCTAACTAGACCTGGCCTATCAAGTAGGAAGTTGTCCCTTCAGGAAAGATCATCAGGAGGTTATTTGGCTTCTAGCAACACTCCAGGTTGTGGTCCTTATGCCACGGGGCCATCACCACGTATAATCAGGAGACCAACGATAGAGTCCAATCGGGTCTCCATATCAGACTCTGAGGTAGGCATGTTCTCCCCTACAGCTGAGGTGTTGAGGTAAGGTGAGTCTTTCTCTGGTGGCAACAGGAGCCTTCAGTCTTCTGGAGGAGTAGATCTGAAAGCACTGCTATTTCTAAGGGAGGGAAAACATCCCTGGAACCAGGGATCATGTTAGCTTGGAATTGGAGAGCTCTGCTGGGTATAGCCCTGGCCCTGACATTTGGCTCCTTCAGCCCTCTCCCACCTGGGATAGTCTTGTTAAGGGACCATGACCCCTGTGCCATGGTAGCACGCAGGAAGTCTTTCAGGTTATTCAGAGAAAGGGCTGTGGCCAAATGGCTTTGCTCTCGTGTCCCTGCTGTAGGTGCCCTTCGGGAATTCACCAGTCACAGCAGCTTTGCTGATGGTATTTTATGGATTTAAACTTCTGGAGATTATGTATCTGCTATTGTGTTTTGCCATAATTGAAAGCATGATTTAATTTTATAAAGAGCTTAAATGCCTGGCTCCTGTCAGGGTTTTCTTTTCTCTTGAAAGCATTTGTAACAGCAGTGCTAAGGGAAGGCCGTGACCCTGCTCTCCTTCAGAGGGGTGTCTGGGTGGCTGTGGTGGTTCTGCAGCTGCTCTCCTGGTCCAGACCTGCCCTGGAGGAGCTGTGACATGCTGTCAGTGGTCGAGTGTCTTGATGGAAGTGGGTGATGGTTGCAATTCCCAGTGCTGGATGTGGGGAGCAGAGGGGCTCTGCCCACTGTCATGACCTAGATGCCTGCAGCAACACAGGGACCCAAATCCCTGCAGTTTAAACTTCTGCCAGTGTGAGTCCAAGGGACCTGGAGCTTAACATCTGTGTGGCTTGGTGTTTCCCTTTTGAGAAGTGGGTGTTTTCCCCTTGCACATCTGAGAGGATGGTGGTGCACACCAAATCAGCCATTGTCCTCTGGGGAGTTGTGCAGATCACACCAGCTGTGGGATGGGTGCTGCATCCCCAGCTGATAAGAGGATTCATGCAGAAGGTGCAGTGCAGAGACTGCAGCTTTTTTGACAGCAGCCATATGCTTTAATAAGGGAGGCAGGGAGGGAAAGGAGCCAGTTCTTGGAAGCAGGACGTGACTTGAGTGCCAGCTCTCCCATCCTGCAGTGCTGTGACTGTGCCAGGAGTCAGGCTTTTCTGAAATCTTTCAACATAACTGCAGTCAAGTGTGACTGGCACATTCCTATCTGCAAGCAAATTCAAAGTACTCCATCTTCTTCCACAGCATCTGCATCCTGAGCAGCAAGGGTTACTGCCTGGGGGTGGGAAGTGCTTAGTTTGAAATGCAGATGTGGAGCCCTTGTGTCCCTGCTCCTGCAGCAGCTCTTTACACAGTGCTGCCTTTTCCATGGTCACTTTGATATCACTGAGAGAGCCCTGCTGTGGTGCAGCCCAGCTGTGCAGCAGAGCTGTGCTAGTTGGAAACCAGCATTCATATTAATGAGGCTCTGCTAAGAGTGGGAAGGGAGCCTGGACAAGCTGGGAACATTCTGAGGTGGGTGCTTGCCCTCACAGAGGTCCTCTGATGAGCTCTACTGCTCCTTCCCACCTTATAGGGACACATTTGTATTCCAGTCAGTGCCTCTCACCTGCTTAAAGCTATTTTGGAGTTGGTTCTTTCCCCTTGGTTTGGGTTTCTGGCATCCTCAGTCAGTGCCTTTCAGTGCAGAACATCCATTGCTCCAGCTCGTGGCCCCTGCCCGGGGCAGTTCCAGTCTGTGCAAAGCTGGAGATGAAGTTCAGGAGCATTCAGGCTTTATCAGTAGCCATGAGCAGGTGCTGTCTGTCAGGAGCAGGGGTGGATGGCACAGCTGCATGTCACAATTTCCTCTTGTGCTGATAGCCATCTCAGACTGAGTCTGCCTCCCTCTCCATCAGGATGGCAGCTCAGTGCCTGCTGCCATTGATGCTACATCCTGCACTGATCTGGAGAAATGATGGAGAGATGTGCTGTGTGGAGGCAGAGTATGGGCATACGACAGAGCTGGATGCTCTGCTTTCACTGATGAATTATGGAAGAACATTGTGTCCTCTTAGAGACACACTGCTGAGCTTTTTAATGCTGGTTTAATATTTGTTCACAGGGAGGAAAACTTCTGTTCAGGGATCAAGAGGGTCAAGAGCTGAAGCTGAGCCTGAGGGAGGATTTATCAAGTGACAGCAGCAGGCAGTGAATTGGGGCTGTCCTGTCACTGGGACCTGTTCCACAGACCCCTGCCTTCCGAGCAGGGCTTTTGGATTTGTTATTTAGGCAGGTGGTAGCTCCTGGGCTGGCAGGACTGCAGCAGGGCTGGGGCTTGCTGTCTAGCACAAAGACTATTCCCAGAGACACCAATTAGCCAACTGCCCTTGGACAAAGAGTTGGCAGCCACTGCTGACAAGTCTGGGTCTGCAGTTTTAACTCTGCGAGAGAAGTAACGTGTTCTGCTCTCCCAACAGCCTTACTGTGTTCTTAATTAACCTCATCCGTCATTTCTCTATCAAAAAATTGATCTGCAATTTAAAAAGTTCCCTGTTTGTTCCTCTCCTTTCTTAAATTATGCATGGCCTGTGGCCTGGAAGGTTCTTTCAGTGCTGCCTTCCCTGGTGGGAGTGACTGATGTGATTTCTGCTGCCTTGCTGCCTATCAATGCCTTGCCCTGACGAGGGAATGGCTTTAGCTGTGGCAGAGAAGTGATTAAACTGAAGCTATTAAAGGTACAGAAAGCTGCAGAGCTGGGACACAGGCCCCAGAGTTGAGGCCCACTTTGCTGATGTGACATTCCCAGCTCCTGCTCAGTGCTGGCAGCAAGGCAAGAGGATTTTCCTGAGGCTGCTAAAAGCTTTGCTGCCCAGGTGATGCCCTGGTGTTTGTATGTACCAGGGAAGGACTCTCTGAAGATGTTTGTACATGGGCATCTTGTCCCTGTGTGACTGACAGAGTTTGTCCCATCTACAACAGCAGGTCTTGGATCTGTGAAAGGGCCTGGACTGCCCTGTGCTTTATGATTTTTGACCAGTTTTTGTTTTCTGTGGCAATGATTTCCCCCCTCCCCTTCCTCTCTTGACTAATGCCTTGGACATGTTAACACAGAGGGCATCTTGTTTTTTAAGGTGAGACAATTATTGCACGCTTGAACTGGCTCAGTCTAATTTGGTGACAGCTTTTCATTAAAGGATCTCATTAAGGTTCTTGCTCTGTTTGTATTTATCAGCAGTTGCAAATGCATTGGCATGATGAAATCAGGAGAGTTGTACAATGTTATCTTAAAGAAACACTTGGCCCAGAGATAGGTGTTTTTCTCTGATAAAGGAATAGGACAATTATCCCACTTCCTGCAGGAGAACCAAAATACAGAATAACAACCCTTGAGTCTGCAGCAACACGTGGCAGGAGTCACTTCAGCAGTGAATTATGTTCTTTTCAGCAAGGGGGAAAAAATGTAGAAAGCACCTATAATCTGATTTCTGCTGTGTTCAGCTCAAGTGCTGGAAGCACAGCAGAAGCTGAGGTGATGGTGCTTCCCACCAGGAATTATCTGAGTGGTTCTGAGCACAGTCAGGTATAGAAGGTTAATGTAAACAAGTCAGGGGCTGCTGGCAGGCCCCCTGGGCTGAACCTGGGGCAATGTAGGGGAATTGGGGTGGTTTTACTCCAGCACAATTGGAATCAGAATTTAGCCCATAATTGTTTTGTCTTGGGTTGTCCAAAAAAATAAAAAAATAGCAGTGCTTATAGTGTAACATACACCAGTTTAAGTAAGATGAAGTCTTTAATTATTTAGCACTCTGCTGCTACTTGAACCTGATTCAAACTCAGTCATTTCCTTTACCAATACTCTAATTATGTTCTCCTTTTGATCTGCAGGACTGTGTGCAATTAAACCAGTACAAGCTGCAGAGTGAAATAGGGAAGGTATGTACTGGGGCTCATCTTGGTCACACCAGCCTGTGTCACACATGTGAGTAGGGGTGGAAAGGCTGTGCCAGCCCAGGGGACCCCACTGGCCAAGACTCCTTGCAAGTTGTGTTTGGTTTGGGGGGATTTTTTGATTGTTTTTGGGGTTTTTTTTTTCCCTTATTC